TATATCTTGAATAGTCATCAATAAATGAGATAAAATGTCTCTCACCATTCAAGCAAGGAGTAGGAAAAGGTCCACATATGTTTGTATGTATGATCTCAAGCAATTGAGAACTCCTTTTGGCACCTTTAGTTGATTTATTGGTCTGCTTACCCTTTATGCAGTCCACACAAGTCCCAAAGTGAGAAAAATCAAGAGCTTTTTGAACTCCATCATTAACCAACCTTTTGACTCGATCAATAGAGATGTGTCCAAAACTCTTGTGCCAAAGACTTGATGAATTCTCATTGATAATACATCGCTTTGTGCCAATTTCTTTGTCATGCAAAGTTAAAACATTGCATTCAAATGTGGGGTCTAGCTCAAGTTTATATAAATTCCCATTCAAATTTCCAAAATCAATAACTTTATTATCTTTCAAAAGTTTCACAAAAGGATAATGAAAATTTAAATCGTATCCACTAATTAATAGTCTTGAAAGAGAAATTAAATTTCTAGAATATTCTGAACATAAAAAGTATTTTTTAAATCTAAGTGAAAATCATCCTTCAAAATGAGCCTATAAGTTCCCACGCCCTCCACACGTGAACGCGTCCTATTGCCAGAATAGACGTATTGTTCACTTCCTATCGGCTTCCTCTGAGTTAGAAAGTGCTGCATGATTTTGGCAATGTAAATTGTAGCACCAGAATCAATCCACCATGTATTATCAGAAACTTCAATAAAATTAGACTCATAACATACAAAGGTAAAATTACCTTTCTTCTCAAGTCATTTCTTGTGTTTCAGGCAATCCTTCCAGTGTCCCTTATTCTTACAGAAATGGCAAGCATCTTTGTCAAAAGTGTTTTTCTTCTTCATAGGAACACTTTGCCCTTCTTTGCATTTCTCTTACCATGAGTCACCATATTAACACTTTCAGGTGTCTCATGCTTCAACCTCTCTTCTTCTTGAACACACATGGTCAAAAGTTTATTAATTGACCATTTATCCTTATGTGTGTTGTAAGAAATCTTGAACGGACCATATTCCGCAGGAAGTGAGTTGAGAATGAAATGCACAAGAAATGGATCAGACATATCAACCTCAAGAGACTTGAGTTTAGCAGCAATGTCTCTCATCTCCATAATGTGCTCACGCACTGTACGACTTCTATCAAAAGTCATACTTGAGAGCCTCTTCATAAGGGTGCTGACCAATGCCTTGTCAGAGCTTACGAATTGTTCATCAATTGCCTTCATGTAAGCTTTGACCTTATCGCTATTAGGGATAGAACCTCTAATGTTTTGGCTTATATGGGCTTTTATGAGCATTAAACTTAAGCGATTGGATCGCTCCGACCGCTCATAATTAGCCTTAGCACTAGCGTACTTGATTCCGTGGGAATAGGTGGTTCTTCCACACGGAGTGCCAATTCCAAATCCGAGTACCCTAAAGTGAGAAGGACTTTCTCCTTCCATTCAGCGTAATTGTCACCGGAAAGCATTGAAATTCGAGCATTCTCATTAAAAATAGCGATAGAAAAAGCTATAAAGACTGCAAAACAAGGATACACATACATAAGCTATAAAGCACAATCCATCAAAAGGTGAATCGCGTAAAAAACCGATTCTAAGTAAACTCTAGATCCTCCTGTGGGCAGAGGTTGTAACCCATGCATATAATTTACTTTACTTTATTAGACTAGTAAAACAAAATACTTAGAAATTAATCTGTACCTGTAAACATAAGATAATTTTCAACTTAAAGGTTTACTATCTCATTCCAATTAATCTCACCAAAATGGTTACCTCCCTATAGGGCCGAGTTACCATTTTAATGAGATAACTGGACTAAATAGATGTTATTATCACTAAACTTTATGTGATTAAATAACTTAATTTCTTTTATATTAAGTACTCAAGATGTTGTGGCCACTCTTAAATATATGACATAAAAGAAAACTCAAAATGACATCCAAAAATAATTAACCTCAATAATCAATTTAAGCAAAATGTTGATTAGCTTCAAAAAAGTATACTAGATATATGCATGACGCTACATTTCCCCAAAGATAATTCTTATAATTAAAAATATTATAAGAACTTAAAACGATAGTAAAGTAGTAAAACATGTTTCTGTTTAAACATCTAACTATTCCATTTCTCGTAACTTAAAAATAAAGGCAAAAGAGATTTAGTAAAAGTATGAAAAGGAAAAAGCATAGACACGGGCTTAATAAAATAATGTAAAAAAACATGATAACCAAAGGCAACCGAGTTGTTATCAACACAGTGAATACAAGCAAGATGCTATATTACCACAATATAGTAATTTAGTTGCCAATTAAATATCAAATCAAAAAAAATCCAACGTCAACATTTAGTACCATAAGATTTTATTCCTCAATCATTATCAAACATTATGGGAATATGAGTCCAATAATTGCAAAATGGTGACTCTTAAATCAAAGCAGAAAATGTAAATTAATGAAGTAGTGTTCTGATTTTTAGTCAAAAATTGGATTTTTGAAAAAGGAAAATTCTTTGGTTTTCAATCCAAAATCAACAACTGTCTATCCCTTTAGGTGATTACAGAATATATAAAGACAATTGACAAATACCACAAAGATAGTCTCGGTTTCTATGAATACATCGAATGGAAGAATTCAACTTCAATCCAAAGCGAAAACTGAAACAGAGACTTGAAAATAAATTAATTCAATTGGCACAATAAATTTTCTAAAGATCTATTAAACCACGTATTATGCTGAGCAATTGTTAAATTACAGAGAATATACAACTATGAACTATAACGTGTAGATCTATCATAACAAAAGGAGTATCTAGATCTACCTTTTAATCACCATCAAAATAACTAGATACCGAACAACATAGCTATAGGCAGGCTCTGATTCCACGATGTAGAATTCAAGAATATACACAGTCTATGCAGCGGAATATTAATAGGAACGTACCTTCAGCCATGGTTGTTTAAGTGATGTGGGGAATTGCCTTGGAAGAACCTTGACAGAAAATCTAGTGCTTTCTAGCATGTGTCTATCGTAGGATGCCAGAGTGATAGACTGATGGAGTCACAGACGTATTTATAGGTAAGTTAGGGACTCTTAGGCAAATACTTTAACCCTAGGGACTTCTCTATAAATTATAATTGACCTAGGCACTCCCAATAAAAAATTATTTATTTCCATTAAAGAAACTACCATACATGCATAACTACAAAATATTATTTGATATATTATTTCCTTTAGAAGATAAGGCAAATAATTTATTACCTTATATGTGAGTCACACTAGAAGTCTATAGAAGAGACGATAAATTTCTAAGAACCAAAAGTGACTTTCCTTTTTCTTTTCTTAATACTCTTTTGGCAGTCAGCACCACACCTCTCTTTTAAGTTCAAAACTCACCAAACACAAGGTTATCATTTCCCAATTCACTAAAATTAAAGTATGCACTACACATCATGGCCCGGGACACACTGTTGACAACGAACTTTAACAAAAATAATACTAACCTGTACTAAGAAATAAAGCCCCAACAGCCTGGAAAAATGTTTTGTTGTCCAACTTTGTCTTCCTTTTTGCCCTTTAAGGGGTCGTTTGGGTTGAATACGGCTTATGCTGGGATTAATTATCCTGGTATTATTTTTTATTCACTGTTTAGTATGTTATATTAAAAATGACAATTGCATAATTTCTAAGAAGAAGGTATAAGTTATCCCGGCACTAATTACCTCACCCCCTAAAAGGTATAAGCTATCTAATTTTAATTCCGAAATAACTTATACTAGGTTTGCTAATCAAACAAAGTATTAAGGTGGTATTAAATTTTTATACCAGCACTGTATCTACTTATACTCATACCAAACGACCCCTAAAGGTTGTGCATCCATTTTTTAACTTCCACATTAATAGTTATCTAAAAACAAAATCCAAGTCCTTCCCAACATTCGTCAATTTTTATTGTAAAACTCGTATTATGATTTTGATGATGTTCAGAATTTCCCATAACTAGTCACTGAACTTAGGATAGATGATCTAGAGAGATGACTTGCGCCAAGAAGCGAATCTAGAATCAGTAGGGTCCGACGAAAGGCGGAGGTATATTTAGGGAGAAGTGGGGCTATTGACCCAGCTTCGGCAAAAATTCCATATATAATGAACCCTCATACCAATCTTTATGAGCAGTAATAAATTTATACTGAATGTAACACAGTCCCCGTGACCTTCGAATCCTAGGTCCGCCTCTGGTTCCGACTAACTATAAAGCACGGTAACTACATTTAAGACTCAACCAATATATGTCCACGAGATCCAAAATGCTGCAGAATTCACAACAGAATACAGTCTCACTCACTGTCTATTCCTTTATTAGTACCTGAATATCAAAAGAAACTTCACCCCATTGTAAACAAACACCAGAACTACAGCATTAAATCTCATTGAGAAAGAAATAACATAAACAGTCTTAGTTTTAAGCTAAAACTTAAGCATCTGGTAACTTGCAAGGTAACAGTTCATAGCCAAGAAATTAACTAAGATGCCGTTGACTCGGGGTGTCAATACTCAATATAGTGTTAAGCCTACACTGCGAGAGGCTTAACACTGTATTGATACACATTCAATGGCGGAACCAGAATTTTCACAAAGGGAAGTCAAAGTATAAAGAAGTAAATCCACGAAAAAGCCAATGAGTGTCAATATGTAGTATATATATATTCTTTTTAAAAAGGGCAGATCGGTGCACTAAGCATCTCGCAGAATCCGAAAAGGCCGCACCCCAAGGGGTGTGACGTAAATAGCCTACCCTAACGCAAGGATTAGTGACTGCTTCTACTGCTCGAACTCGTGACCTGTAGGTCACACGGAGACATTGTAAATTTCCAACGAAGGGGTGTACAGACAACCCTTGAATACATGCGACTCCGCCACTGTACACATTCAGTTATACAAAGTGGCTAAACTTGCAGTTATTTGTCAACTAACAAAGTTCAGGAGTATATATAAATCAATAGAACCGCAAAAAGTCTTATGCCAACAAGAGGAATGAACAGTTTGTGTTATCAGATTCAGAGGGTACCTTAAGCTGTTAAGCAACAGGAAGAAAAAACTAAAGAATATACAAACCTCACTACAAACTCAATCAAGCAACAATAAACTCATGATAAGTAATTCTGTTTAGTCATTTATGTGTTTTAATCATGACACAAGTGGTATGCATTCGGATTATTATCCTTGTGGAGAAAATACTCACTGCTAGCTCTACCGCAAGATGTCTCCATTAACGGTTTTGCACTAATTTCTCTACCAAATCTTGATAGGTAATTTAGACCCATGAGAAGTTCTACAACCGCCGCTTCAGTTCTTGCTTGGTTTGCAAAGTAAAGGGTCTGCACAAGAAGCACATTAGCCCCATAAACCAGTCTTTGTTTCTCAAAGTTTCGTTCAGAATGCCACCTTATCGTGTTATGAGCAAGTGGCGACAACCATTCTAATATCCTTCCCAGTGCCAAACTCCAATCCGCTGCAAGCGCAGCATCATAAACGGATGAAGTCAATGATTTGGCGAATACCTTTAACATACCCCTCAGAGAGTTTTTGACGCTAGCGGGCAGCATATTGTATAGGTCATCTCTTGCGTCAAGACCGATCAAGTGTGGTGCTGAGGACAGTTTCTCTATAAGTATGATGATATTTGCATACTTGAGTGCCAAAGCAGCATAGCCCAGAGAATCTTGAGGAGCAATTAACAGCTTACGCTTGAAATTGAATAGAGAAGTTTTTGCAAAAATTATGCCATTTGAGGAGGCGGGAACAGGATTCGTGTCTTCAAACTTGTCGTTATCTTTTTGGAAACTATTGTCTGACTTTGAAAGATCGCTGTTAGAAGGCATGCAACTCTCAAGTATTACAGGTGACTCAGTGCCACTGTTTAAACATCCTTTAAAAGGTCCAACATTCCCGAATCGCCTGGATCTCAGTTGTGATGGCTTTCCGCAAAACACAGATGATTGCCGAGCAAGAGATTTTTTATTAGTTGATCTATCTTTATTTCCACTTAGCCCAAGGCTCGAAAATGACCTGCCTAAGGAACCTAAATAGGATTCCGACGTGTTATTTTCAGACGGATAAACAGACGACAGAGTAAGCGCGGAGATGGACCGGCTGCGATCAAGATAACCATTATCGATGACATCAAAATGGTTGCTTCCTCCGGCAACTCCTGTTTGATTTGTCCCAAATAGGTACTTAACCCTCATGATTATAGTAAAAATAGATCGAAGCAAAAGCCGGACAGTATAGTCATAAGTTCTAACCCAAGGAGACATTTCTCTTAGATTCTTCACTTCCTCTCTTTGCCATATAACTTTTTGCCTAAACTCAAGCAATTTCATCTGACCTGAACTAGCACCGGTCTGCATCCGCCTCAACGTTTGCTCAAGCTCGGTAAGAACTTCAAGCTCCTGGTACAATTGAGTCGTGGCTGCAACAAATCTCTCCATTTTCTTAACCTTCCGGTCCATTTTCTTCAGCCTATATCGCCATGCACACCCATTGAGTTCAATTTCAACTGGATCTTCGAAAATTCGTTCAAGATTGTGATAAACTGGATCATCACATCTCTTACCAAGCGTAGACACTGATTTCAACAGACATCCCAAATTATCAATAATCTCTGCAATAGCAAGATCCATAAGATATTCATCATCTTCAGCAACAAGCTTCTGAATACCAAGTGAACATGAGATTTCTTCTCTTAACTTGTCGATTCGCCTGTCGCTTAAACATTGCCACAAGTTAACCACCTTAGACATCAAACCTGCAATTTCAAATGCCAGAATTCCTATCACATGCTTCCTCTCAGTCTCTGAAGCCGAGCTCTTTCGCGAAGTTCTCCACAAATTAAACAACGATTCTGTCACCGTTTCAACTCCCATCATTCCCCAGTACAAATACAGAACTAGATTATAATCTCAAGAAATTCATCTACCTGCTGAAAAAAGATGAAAGAACATTAACCACCACGACAATGACCCGACAACTAATTTGAAAAACATTGCTTTAACCACCAGTCCATGTATTCGCTATGATGATCTAACTACTCCCTTCGTTCCAGTTTATGCAAAACTTTTCACTTTTCGAGATTCAAACTATGTAAACTTTGACCAACCTTTTGAAATGCATTTTTCATCATATTAACATAAAAAGAATTGCAACTTATAGTACTTTCCGAGTAGTTTTTGAATATCTAAATGTTAACTTTAAAATATCGAGTTAATCTAATCATATTTAGTTTCAAAGATTAGTCAAATTGACTCGAATAGCGAAAAGGTTCACATAAACCGGAAAGGAGGAGCAATAAAATTCTTATTACTCTAAAGGAGAAACATGCATTCTGTATTTTAAGAAAAACCTAACAAATTTAGCAATTTATATGCAGGAAATAAAAAAAGGAAAGAAGAACAACAAATATCCCTTTCCTTTCTGATTTTCTACCACTATTAAAACAACATGTTTCCAACTAACAGTTGAAATCCCTATTTCTTTCTAAAAATTGTTGAAACCCTTAAAGATGCAATTTTTACTAATGAAATAACTGAAGTCTAATAAAAACTACTTTCACCAACACAATTTCCACCAATTATTTCTAGAAAACTCAAATCACATTGAACAAAGCACAAGGCTTTGCCTGTTTTGGCTCATCCACTTCCATTCAAGTTTTAAAGAAACTAAAAAAAAACTAAAATTAACAGAAATAAATCTAACTCACTATACATTGCTTCATAAGCTCAAAACCTCAAGAAAACAAATACAGAACCCAACTTCCTAAATTGACAAAACACACCCAAGAAAATACAAAAGATATCATAAATGGTATCTTTAGATTTTAAAAAAAAAAAGGGTTCTTTAGATTTTCTTTATAAAGAAACAAACATACAAACCATCAAAAATTGCTTTTGGAAAATCAAGATTCACTTTGATCCATCTTCTTCAAACAAATAAATAAACAAATAAATAAATAAATGAATGAATTCTTTGTGACAAGCTGAAGATTAACTATAGTCCCAAGAAATAAAGAATCCATTTTTAGCCATTTTCAGAAAATGAACAGCAAAAAAAAAAACAAAGAAAAACAAATCTTTATAATGCAGCTAAAAAAGCAACAAAAATTCATAATAAAGAAAGTTGAAACTCACCCTTTAATTGGAAAATGAGAATGAGCTGAAAACTCTGAAGAAACATTGATTCTTTGAGAGAGAGAGAGAGAGAGAGAAGAGAATGAGAGAGAAACAAAGGTGTGGGGTGAAGGTTTATAACGTACGCACTACCGGCGCAAAATAGGAAGGACCGGAACGGAAAAAGAGAGACACGTAGAGTAGTGCTACTTTACACTTAACAGTAGGGCAGTATAGACTAATAAAAGGATTGAGGCTAAAGTGCGCCGTAAGAACCGAGGAAAATAATTTGGATTTATCTCAGTTTTATGCTTTTTGATTATTCACTTTTACGAGATGCCGCTGTAATTTTCTTGTTTGGTTGTCTATTGGGGGAATTTCATTGAGCATATCCTTGTGGGCTGGTTTTTGGTAATATTTAAGAGTTCGTTTGGTACGAGGAGTAAGGGATAATTAATTTTGGGATTAAATTTAAGATGAATTTTTTTCATATTGGAAAGAAGTTATTCCAGAACTAATTATTCCGGGATTAGTATTCCGAAATTAGTTATTCTACCTTTCCATGGGGATAAAAAATACAACAATCCCGAAATAACTAATCCCGGTATTAATTATACTGTACTTTTCTACCAACCAAACACTTGATAAACTCTTCTTAAATTTTAATCCCGGACTTATCTCTCATACCAAACAAGCCCTTATAGTATAACTAATCTCGGAATTAGTTATCCAGAAATTATAGTGTTTTTTATCCCTATGAAAGGGTGGGATAACTTGTTCCCAACCAAACGACCCCCAAGAATAAAAGTAAATAATCATTGGGGTGTGATGGGTAATAACTATTTCTTTATCGTTAATTGGAAGCCTTGAGCTCGGCTTCGAAAATAAAATCATTTTTGGTCGAAAGTACTTTACCCTCAAGTATGACTTCACGAGCTCCAGAGTGGATACTGAACATCGGGTGAGAAAAAAATATATAAGTTAATGAACTGAACAAAAATTTTAGTAGTAGTAGCATTATTCTTATATTCTTTATTGTTAGATTTCTATTACTACATGATGTTGCTTTTGTTTTAGTTTGTATATTATGATATTATTGCTTCTTTGAATTTTTCATTACGGAATTTTATTTTCTATTCTATTGTGATTATGCATTTTTTTTTGAAATCGATGGTCTATTGAAAACAACCTCTCTATTTGCATAAGATACGGGCAAAATTACGTACATCTTATCCTTTTCAGATCCAATTATACTGACTATATTAGTGTGGTGGTTGTTGAACTGAATAAAAATCTATGGGTTGTTTGAGAATAAATATTTCTTTGTAATTTCAGAGATACTAGGCATATGATATGTCTAACAATGTTCCTTTTTTTAATTAAAAAAAAGATCAATGTTGTTGATTGTGATGATATGCTTAGTTGGCTGTTCTAGTAATGTGTCTCTTCAAGTTCACATTGAGATTAGTTATGTTTTATATAATAGTTACGTTATAAAACTTGATCAAACATGTGAAGATCATGTGTCTATTAGGAAGACATCAAGATATGTCTTGTCCTAAATCATTGATTTATCCAACACAAATTCTTAATAATCTGTTTAATTAATTAAACATGCCTTGTCCACTTTCATAATTTAAACAATAGAATTATAGAATAATAGTTTTACGTATTTAAAATTGTCTTGTTTCTACTTAAAATGCAAAGAGGAAATTAGGAGGATTATAAACAAACCTTGTAGTGTGATTCTTTTTAAAAATTAACATTTTATACATATTGATATAATACATAATTTTATTACATATTTAATATCAAGAAACGAGAAAAAATCACATTTAATTGAATAGATAGCTTTCATCGCAACACAAAAATACTTGCACTAGAAGTTTGTAGTTTCGCAATATTGAAGGCGAAAATTTATCGATCTATGACTTTCTTGAAGTGTGAGAAAGACCGATCGAATTGTCATCAGTATGATGTAAAATAGTAATTTTCAAAGTTGAAGGTAGTTTTGTTCATTATTAATAAAATAGTTTTATTTATAATAGTTGGAGATATATTTAAAAATATTTAAAATATTTTTGAACAAAATAAGCCAAAATACATGTTCATGATTTCTTAAAAATGCATTTAAAAATACACATGAGAAAGAAGAAATATTGTGGTTAACTTTAACGAAAAGAATTTTAAAATTAAGTAAGCAATAAGGTACTTCCTATTGACTAATAAACTTGCAGATTTTAGTCAAATCAATAACTTTAAGTTTGTTATGAAACAATAAAAGAAGAAGAAGAGTATTGCAGTGAAAAGTAGGGAGAGAGAACTCTTATTGATTTTGAGATGATTTACAATGGAATAGAACCCTCTATTTATAGGGAGAGGGTGACTTAGCCACCAAGCAATGAACCCTAGAATCTCTCTAAATATAGACATTCACCATAAATACAATTCTATTTATAACACTCCCCCTTGAATGTCTATTCAACAGATAATGTGCCTCGTTAAAACCTTAACTAAAATAAAACCCAGTGGGAAAAAATTCTAGAGAAGGAAAAAGAGTACACATATCTAATAATACGCCTTTTGGTTGCCTCGTTAAAAACCTTGTAAGGAAAACCCAGTGAGACAAAACCTTGTAAGGGAAAAAGAGTACAACGGGTATTAACCCCCCTCCCCCCCCCCCCCTGATGAGAGCATCAATTCACATCATTAAGCATTTGCATTCCAATCTTGTGCACCATCTTCAAAAGATCTTTGGTAGAGATTTGATGAACAAATTAGACATATTAACTTGAATGAATATATTTCACCTTGAAATCATCATTCTTGATAGAGGTGAATTGTCTTCATATGATCTTGTTGGAATCGTCAGTTCAATATCTTCACATAGAGGTGAGAACTCTTGCTATCATTTTATCATGCATATAGTTATAGCAAGATACATTTATGCACAAATTGCACTGAGGATGTAATACTTCATGACCATGAATTCTATATGTTTTAAGCAATTTAAATCCTTCAGGGATGGTTAAGTCATATAAGCCATATAATAGACTTTAGATGCATATCAAGTTTTCATGTCATGCTAGACATATAAGATAGATAAAGATGATAGCACACACCATTGACTTTATACTTTTAAGTGTTTGAACTGCAGGTCCAAAACTACTTGTCTTTCATATGAAACCAAATTCTACTTGAATTGTTTCTCCAAACTTAAGATCCTCATATATATTTAGCGCTATTATAGATGTCCTCGACAAACATTTTATATCAGTTTCAATATATTTTCATAATGACATAACATAGAGATCTCTTCATTCATATATTCAGGTACCTGAATCTCTCATGAGATTTTATGAAGTGTTATGTCATGTGATCTTCTAGATCACTTGCCTCCTTTATTATGATCATTTTGATCATTTGCTCATCTTCTTTATCAAGAAGTTTATTTGAAACTGATTGTCTATACGTTTTAAGCTTACCATAGACTTTGTCCTTCTAGGACTTAATAGGAGCATTTGCAATGAGAATATACTTACTTTCTTTGGGTCAGCAAATGCATATGGCGTGCTTTGCAATATATTGCAAATGAATTATCCTTTTATGAACTTCAAGTTCATATTATTTTATTCAAGGATTTAGATGTACAAATGATAATTCATTCCACGTAACTTTTTCTCAACTGTTTATCATGTCTCCCCCTCATGTTAGAAAAACTAACTTGTTTCCTCAACTTTAAGAACTCATCTTTGTGCATTATGGTGTTAATTAAAATATACACCGCACATCAATTATAATAAGATGGAATTATCTGGTTCCTGACCCTGAACCACTTTTGAGGGGAGAATGTAATATACTTTCGTATATAACCTATATCAAACTGATATAGATAACTTTGTTCTCATAAGCAATAGTTTAGCTATTAAGTGGAGGCACTCAATAAATTATTTTGCTAAATAGCCAACTATCATATCAAGATAAACTATCTTGAATAGGAAATCTGGAAATTATGCTCGAAATTAAATTATTGAGCAAGTTACCTCGCAAAATACCATGTTGCGGATTATTAATAATAGCACATGTAACCATCTCATAGATGCATCTTATGTGGTATACATGGCTAGTGAATGGGCCCATATTCACCTTTGATATTTTCAGCATTCATGGGATTCAATCCCAATTTTAGTTGGTATATTAATTAATGAGCACAGGCAACATAAGAGAACTCGTAAAGAACTTTCTAGTTCTTTAATATTTAACCATGTGAATTCTCTTTTATTTTTGCACATCATACTTGAATTAACATGGCTAAACCAATTATGCCAACTGGATAAATTATCTATATTGATAAACTTCAGGTTTACACCATGATGTGTGCAATTATGAATAAACTCCAAGTTTATTATGATATGGATTTTTATATCAATAAATATCCACTTCATTGTGGTATTCTTTTGTTTATGTAGTACAAATTGGAGAATAAAGCGGGTAGCTTTTCACATACATATTACCCCGCTACAAGTTGTAGTAATAGAAGATATTAAATCTTTCCTTTATTTATAGTCTCAATATAATCAACCGCTTTCGCGTATACTTTGGAAACTGAATAAGTTTCTTTGAGACTTACTACAATATAATACCTTATTGGTAATTAATTGTGTTTCTCCAAAATAGTATAATTGGCTCTTGCAGAGTTCTCAATTAATTTTGTAGTACCACATATTCATCAACACCCATATGGTGAATATCTCTTTTAAAGAGAAAGTTATACCATTATGGTTATGGTCAAAATTATATGCAAGATCTGTTTCTTGCATTACCGTTAATCACAATGCCAAAATATTTTGGCGTACAATAGGTACGTGACCAATGACCATTTATGCCATAATAATGACATTATTTTCTTATATCATCTCAAACCTCCTTTTAGAGGTGAGTGCGGTATATTCACTACCACTAGCACGTTCATATTCTTTGAAGAATGAATATGTATTCATAAATCAGATGTTGTCACATTCACATCATGAATGGACCATAATCATCTATATGTGCTTTATAAAATCTCATGTCAAATCGATGACAAATATTACTTTCATAGAGTGAAGGATTATTTTGAGAATCCTTATTATTCTCATTAGGCAGAATAGCCTAGTAGACACTTGTACTTGTCCCACTTGGTCATGCCGGTCCCTGTACTCTATAGCT